AAAGGAGGATTTAAATCTCATTTAGTTCAACTCCTCAAACCCTTCTGTGGTTCAGATTCTCAGCAACACAACCAAGAACCCAGAAATAAGCCCCAAATAAATGTTTCTAGAGCCTCTTTGGAATTCCACATTGAGTCTTCTTACTCTTACTTGCCATAATTCTAAAGAGTAGTTAAACTCTTCCAGGCCTGATAGGTTACAGGCTGAGATGGGCTACCTGAGGGCGATATATACTCAGAGCAGTAGCACATGATATCTCATACGGAAATCAGATTGATTATATTATAACGAGCACATGGGCATTACTCTCTACAGGGAGAGATAACCCATAACTTGAGTGAAGCCTGAGGATACCACTATATAAATAAATTTATAAGCCTGTTCCTGAAAATACGCTACATTGTTCTAGTGTTAATACTCTTTTGAGAAAGCAGGAATAAAACTGACAAAAAAATTTTTTTTTAATACTTTTGTGTTTACACGTATGGAATGTGTCATTACCATCATCTTCCTATTTTATGTTCAGTCAAGTATTACTGGAGTCATTATTTCAGGATTTTGTAGCCAAATTAAACTCTTGGAGAAAACTTACAGGATGTCCAGTTTTAAAAAGCATTGCATTAATTATGACATCTTTTGAAAGGGGCCCTTGCTTACAGTACTTAATCAGAAAGAATCTCCTGATAGCCCTCTGGTTTGTTTCCAGGTACCGTGATTTCCGGAACCCACCTGGACACGAACAACAGTATAAACACAACATCTACTACTGGCATGTGATCGCAGCCAAGCTGGCTTTCATCATTGTCATGGAGGTAGGAGAAGTATACTGTGAAAGAGTTCATAAGGCAGTAGATTTGCAGACCTTTTATTAGCAATAAGTGTTGCCAGCTCTGACTTAAAATACATTCTTTTCTCTTGCTAGTAAATTACCTGTTAATCACATTTAACATGGGCATACCCATAATGCTCTCATTAATGAAATGGGTTATCTGCTTGAAAAGGTGAAAGCATGTTGTGTGCTGGGGGCGATTCAGTGCCTCTCACTGTGGTATTGAGTGCCTTTTTGAGAAATTTGGGGCGCCGGGCAGCATGCTAGACTGTGAAGGGGCTTACCGAAGATCACGAAGATGTGATCTCTGCCCGAGAGACTGTTATTGCTGTCCTAGTTTTATTTGTATTATTATTAAGTATTTTTATTACATTTTCATAATATACCTCTTAGAATAGTTTTTTAAGCTCTTAAAAATGCCTATGGCAGTGATAAATTTGAAACTGATCTAACCAGCTTTACTTGTGACACGGAGGGAATAACTGCTACCAAACCACGAAGCCTCAGAAGTTGCTCGATGGGTGTGGTCAGTTAGGATTGCACTTCGCCGCAGAAAACACAAAACCCATCGATAGGGGCTTAAAGAAACAAAGATGGATTTTGCTCACGAGAAGTAGGTGGTTGCTCCCGAGTCAAGACCAGCTCGCTGACATGAGGACCGGATCTCCGATTCTCTAGGTTCTCTTTCTCTCCCTCTCTCGGGGTGTCATGTGTGGTTGCCATGGGAGCGCTACAACTCCAGATAGAGCACATGTCGGGTCCAGACAGGAAGGGGATGCTCGCCATATCCGTTCCTTTTTGTCAGGAGAGAAAACGTTTTGCCAGAATCCTCCAGGGCAGACGGCCGCCTGCATCACCTTGGGTAGCACCAGAGCACACGGCTCCTCTGAGCGACAGAGTAGGCCCAGAGGCAGGGAATTGGGTTTGCTCTGAACAAAATGAGGATCTGTTAGCAAGAAAAAGGTGGGATAGGCTGCCTGGCTTTGAGCATTTTCCTAGGATTTTTTTTTTTTTTAATAGCTACCAAACATTAACAGAAGAAGAAACAAGTTGTCATTAGCTCCCCATCATCAGTGGATTCCTGGAGTATCTGATCCGTCAGCAAGAATCACTGGTTTATATTCAGATATGTAGTTGCCAAAGTATTTCAACTTCTGCTTCTGATACCGTGGTGGACCAGATCCTGAGGGGCCATTTCACTACACAGCATTCAGAATCAGCTTAAAATATAATTTCATTTTTGAGCTCACTGGAAGGGAGGAGAACCTACAAAGAGGGGGCAGAAAGGTGATGGCTAACCTAGAGCAGTTAGCACCCCCCTGAAGCGCAGGGGCACTCTGAGGACGAGTGCGGTCATCAGCACCTCCCTCTAAAGGCTCAAGGGCACCAAGCAGCAGGTCAGCAGTGAGGTGGACCAGCTGAGCTTGAGACTCTTGGATTCAGCCAGGGGCCCCCAAAAGAGCTAAAATTGTCTCAGAGCAGAAGGAAATGCATATATTCCCTGGAGAAAAGGTGTCCTCGGTTTAGACCACATTTTTTTCTCAGATTGAAATAATCAGGTATGAGCTTCCAAAGATCAACAATAATAAGGGGAAATGAGAAAAACCACAGGTGAGATTCAGGGGGAAAAAATAATAATTTGGACCTTCAATAACTTCAAGAGCATGCATTATCATGTTAGGAATATAAATTCAATCTGTATGAAAATTTAAACAAAAAATGAGTGATTCATAAATGAACAAACAATAAGAAACTAAAAAATTACAAGGTAATTTTGAAAAATACATAGTCATTAAAATGAAAAAGCATATGGATTAAACAGAAGTCTGAAGCAAGAATGAATGAATTGGGACATAGGTCTGAAAAAAATTACTCCCAGCACGTCACAGGGAGAGAAGAAAGTGGAAAATATGAAAAAAATTATGGAATTTTCAAAAAATTCACAGAAGGAAAAGGATACTAGAGAGGCAATATTTGAAGAGTTAATGGCTAAAATTCTTCCCAAAGAAATGAAAGGGCTCTGTTCACAGAGCAGAAAGCACAGCAAACATCAGGCAGAATAAAGAAATCCATGCTTACGCAGATTGTGACAAAAGTGCAGCTCGTCAAAGATAAGATCTTAAAAGTAACCAGAGAAAAAGGACAGATGACTGATAAAGAAAATTAAAATTGAAATGAGAGTAGACTTTAACAGCAGCATGGAAGCCAGAAGAGAGTAGTCAAATAGCTTCCAAAATGCTAAAGAAGGGAACTCTAAACCTAGAATTATAGCAAAATTTTGAGTAATTGAAAAATCTTTCCATAAAGAAAATGCCAGCCCATATGGTTTTGTAGGAGAGTGATGCCATACTTTCTAGAACAGATCATTTTAGTTACCTCCAGAGATCAGAAAAAGGAAACGCTCTCCAACTCCTTTTTAGATCCTAAAAATCACACAGGAATAGAAAGAGGAAAATTATAAGCCAGTCTCCTTCGTTACATTGATGCAAGGATCTTTCTAAAATGTGCCGATTGAATCTAGCAATATATTTTTTAAAGATGACATCAGACCACATTGGTTTATCCCAAAAATGCAAGGGTGGCATAACAAAGTCCACATCTATAAATATAGATGGGGAAAAACAAACCTCTCTTTCCTACATCAACTTTTGCCTCTTTATAATTTCCATCATTCAGATCCACTCTCTCTGTCATCTCAAATATTCTCCACCTCACATTACCTAACTTATCAGAAGCATTTGACACAGCTCATCACTCCTTCTAGGAGTTCCTCCTCACTTGGCTCCCAGGAAAAAAAAAAATTTTTCCCCCTTTTCTCTTACGTCACTAGGCAGTTCCTTCTTCATTTCTTTGCTAGTCTCTTTTCTCTCTTCTCTCTCTCCTCACAGCTTTGGTGATCTCATGCAGTCCGTTGGCTTTAAATGCCATCTATATGCCAGTGATTCACAACATATTTACCTCCAGAACACCGCTCTCCTGAACTCAACCCATGAATCCAACTGCCTACTTGACCTTTCTGCTTGGAGAGCTAACAGATAAATCTACTGCCCCAAATGCCCATATTTTCTTCAGTCCACTTGCAATGTTCTCCTCTCTGTGCTGCCCTAAATGCTGCACCCACGGTGGGTCTGCCCCCTCTCAGTCATGGCAGTTGGCATTTACCCCACTGGTTAAGGGCAAAATTCTTGGAGGACCCCCCCACACACACACTTACCCCACATGCAGTGCTGTTGGCTTTTCCTTTGACAGTACATTGCAGATCTGACCCTTCTTACGAGCTCTGTTGCTAGAGCCGGGTTGGAGTCACCATCATTTCTTGCCTGAATTAGGGCCACAGGCTCCTGACTGGGCTCCCAGTTGTCTTCACATCTCATTCAGAGCCGGGCAAGGCCTGACACGCTCTAGCCATGCTCTGTTACCTCTCTCTCGTCCCTGCTCTCCTCCTCACTCATGTCCCTCCAGCTCTGTCGCTCCTGATGTACAGCCGGCAGGCTTCCACCACCGAGCCTCTGTAGTGGCTCTTCCTTCTGCCTCGCATGCCTTTCCTCCTGATTTCTGCACGGCGAGTTCCCTCACCTGCATAAAGCCTTGGCTCAGTGAGGCATGCCAGGCTAATCTGTACAAAATCTACCTGAAATTGGCCTCCCACCTAACACAAACTCCTGCTCTGCTTTACTGCTTTCTCCATGCTCTTATCATGTGAACACTGTGTACAATTTATTGGTTTTTAATGATGTTTATTGTATATTACCTATCTCCTCGGTAGGTCAGAGACTTTTGAATAATGAACAAATAAAAATGTGTTCAGCATCGTTAGTCATCAGAAATGTAAGGCCAAAATGAAAATCCATTTCATAATCACTATGTTGGTGGAAAAAAAAAGAATTGATGACCACAAGTGCTGGCAAGAATGCAGAGCCTCTGAAACCATCACACGCTGCTCGTGCGCGTGGAAGCTGGTTTAACTACTTTGGGAAATACTTTGGCACCATCTTGGAAATTTGAATATTCATTTAACAGAGTCTTGGCAGTTCCACTTCTGGGTCATCCCCTTGAGAAACTCTCACAGATGTCCTCCAGAATCCAAGTCCAAAAACACTCTCAACATCATTGTTTCTAATACAAACACTAGAAACAATGGAATGGATAAATTACAGTGTGTGCAGACAGACTATTATACAGAATTGATAATGAACGGACTACAGTTATGCACAGTAACATTGGTGGATTAGAAACTAGTTTTGAATGAAAAAAGTAATTTTCAGGGTCACCTGGGTGGCACAGTCAGTTGAGCATCCAACTCAGCTCATGATCTCTTGCAGTCATGGGATCGAGCCCATGTTGGGCTCTGTGCTCAGCGTGGAGTCTGCTTGAGATTCTCTCTCCTTCTCTCCCTCCTGCACTCGCTCTCTAGTAAATAAATAAATCTCTTTTAAGTAATTTTCGAAAGACCATATACAGTATCATACTTTTTTACAAAGCTCAAATCAAGCGAGACTAAATAATATATTATTTGGGGCTATATACATATCTTGTTAAACTTGATTTCTAAAAATAAAATGATACAGATAGACTCACACAGATAGGATATAGTGCTAACCTTTGGGGGAAGAGGCCTGGAAATGAGATAGGAAAGGAACACATACACAAAAATACTACAGCATTGTCAGGGTGAGTGTTATAGATATTAGATCCATTCTTTTCTACATATCAAATAGTATTCTTGAAATTTTCAAAGTAACAAAATGTAGCTCCTTGGCAGACCCACATGGTGTAGGAGAGACTGGTTGTATATGTAGAATGCCCACTGCCTTGTCCAGATCTATTGCTAGGATGACTAGCAAAAAGAAAAAACAAAAAAACAAAGCAACTCTGTGTTCCCCTCCATTTCTTTTTGATTGACATCTTTCTTCTTCTCTCCCACAGCATCTCATCTACTCTGTGAAATTTTTTGTATCCTATACCATCCCAGATGTATCAAAAAACACGAAGAGCAAGATCAGGAGAGAAAAATACTTAACCCAAAAGCTTCTTCGTGAGAATCACCTCAAAGATATGACAAAAAATATGGGGGTCATAGCTAAGAGGATGGGGGAAGTGGTAGATAACAATTTACGACCAAAATTAGAATAAGAGCTTTATGTTCTGAGAAGCACTTTACAGAATTTAACTCTGTCAAAATATATTATGAATCACTAATGAGAATGTTTAAGTTAAAACACTTTGGCAAATAGGAGTCTTCGCTATTAGCCATTTTCATAGAGAGGATTTTTCCGTTTCAGCCAGCCACGCAGGACCTGGGAAATGTAAAACTTAGATCAAGAAGTGCATAAAACTAATCACCTGGAAAACCAGAAATATTACTCTTTTTTGATAAATTGGAATTTCTGTAACACAGAAAGTGTCTCGTAGTGTGCTTAAAAACTGCCCCTTCCAAAGCAGAATGGATTTTTGTCCCTCCATTTGCTTATTTTCATTCCTTTCTGTTCTCAAGCACATGCTCCCCTTTTAGGCAATGTTTCATTTCTTCACTTCGCCAGATCTGTCCCAGAGTTAGCTTTCCCTAAGACTAGACAGACATGCTAGCTTTTGTGTGATTAAAAATAGCTAACTCAGAATTCGGTTTGAATGGTGTATTCAGTGGCAAATAGACCCAAGAATTCACAGTATTTAGGTGTATTAGCACATCCCTACAGAAAATGAAACCTCACTTAATAAGAGGAAATGGTTTCAGTCTTCATTTTGGCCTGTCTTTCCGATCTCAAAGAAATACTCTTAATGGATTGGAATAAAGATAGCAAGGTCCTGAAGTGTATTTGTACTAATCCACAGTGACACCTTTTATCTTCTAGGAGCACTCCTAGAATCTTCTGTGCCTAATCAATGTTGACTGCTTTGCAAATCTCAAGGGAGTAAGATGACAAAAGCGGGGAAAGTTACAGATTCAAATAGAATTTTAACTCCTATTGATCAGGATAATTTACCTCTTCTAAATATATATAGTTTCTTGGGAAGAAACTGAAATCAAGGGACTAAAGTTACATTTTTATCAGTGTAATGGTCTGGAAAGATAAGCCCATCCGTTTCCCACCAGTTGTCGGTGACTCCTCAGATCCAGGAGGGAGAGCATTAGAGCCCACAAGCGCCACTGGGAACGGCTCACTGTCTAGCCAGTGTGGCAGGCCAGTGCTGTGCGTGCTTAAGAGAACAGCAAGTGCTCTGTGAGGCCGTGTGGGGCGTGCCTTTCCGGCAGGGGTCCTGCCATCCAAGTGATCAACATACCAAGGCATCTGCCATGGTCAGGGTGGTTCCCCACATCCTCCATTCCCTGTTCCCAGCCCAGCAACTTTGTAACTTGCACGCACCAAGGGCTGGGTGGGAGCAGTGGTGGGGGAAGTGGAGGCAGACAGGAGCAGACCCAGATCACTCCCAGTTCAGAAAAGAGACTGGTTTTGATTTGCGCTTCCAGCCTCCCTGACTTCCTGCTGAATGCCTTTGCCACGCATATCTTGCCTTCAGTGTGTTCAGCTCAGCAGTCTTTACTGCGCTTTACTGCCTTGCGGGTGCAAGGCCCTCTGGTGGGCTCTGGAGAAGAGCCGGGGCCTGCACCGCTCACCCTTGACTGGCACCAGGGCAGCGCTGGGTGCAGGAGAGGGGTCTGGCCCTGGGTTCTTGCTAGGTGGGCCACCACCCACTGCGGTGCTGCTAAACACCCAGGTGCCATGGAAGCCAAGCCACTCAGAATCCCAGCAGCAAAGGGGAAGGAAAGCTGTTTCATGAGCAGATTCAGAGGCTGCTTGTAAGAGAGCAGCTTCACTCAAGGTCACAGTTCTGCACGCATGCCGTGAATGTTTAAAAAACGAACAACAAAAATAGTATTTACGTAGGATCCATCAAAGCAGTATTCTGGGCTTCTGAATTGTCCCAGTGGATCAGGGGCAACATTTCACCACTTTCTTGGTCACATGAACAATGGGAACAGAGCGCTCCCAACAAGCCACACGAGCTCTGACTGCACAGGGAGTAAGGAAGGAGTTTCCTGCAGCTGCTCAGTCCGCACAGCCCAGCCCGGGTGCGTCTGGTCCTTCCCCTGCTCAACTGTGACACTGCTCCTAGCAGTGGGGTGTCACTCCCCCTCCTCTCACCTCTGCTCTTCTCCGAAGCCAAGGACTATCTCCTCGTGTTGGATTTGGCGAGTACTCACTGTTTATGGGAGCCCAGAAAAGGAAACGTTCTTGCCTTATCTCCTTGTATATACGATACAACTTTAAAAGAATTGTGCATTTACATCTTCATAAATCATCTTTCACAAATCATCTTCATAGTTTACAGTGTGCTTTTGTGGCCAGGAGGGGGGAAAGCTCTACATTTATAAAGGCAGAAAATCCGATGCATGACATGCCGGTATTCCCCAAACAGCGAAGGAGTAGGGAGCCAGGCTCCCCTGTGACACGGACAGCGTTCACGTAACTCCAGTGCTGACTGGGCGGCGGCGACGAAAAATGCGGGGCTGCGTGTGCAGGCGGGCACGGGCCGGATCGGGATATGAGTGCAGAAGCAGCACCCCAGGAAAAAGGGTGGGTGTGACGGTGCCCCCATGAGAGGAGAATCTGGCCCTCCGCCTGCCCGGTGTGAACCACTAGAGAACTTTGAGTTTTCTATCCTTTTGTAATGCCTGTGAATTTTAGCAGATTGAAGCATTAGACCAAAATACTCAGGAGATTTTTCTTTAACTATCCCTCACATATTTCAGGTGTGTCGATAGAAAGGGAATGCTATCATTTTTGTTTGAAAACTAAACAAGGCCATCTTGTAAACTGTCACCAAAGGCCTTGCCTTTTAATTACCCGTGCGTGCATCTGGAATTTCAGAAAACATTAGTTCACCATGGGGGGCAGAATGAGCTCTGCTATTGAAACACTTCTTGTACCATTTCCTCATTGTGCATATTATAAGATGTTTGAAAAGTTAAAATGTTTGAGCAGCTTAACTAAACTAGAACGGAAATATTCACGATGCTTTCATACACTGCGGCATAAGATGTAAAGTTTGTAATGTTTTGTGAATTTGTGCATTTTAATATTCTTTTATAATTATGAGCATTTTAATAAATTCATTTTTCAAAACAACACTGGTCTACTCTATTTGTCTTCATGTTTTTAAGGAGAGCATATATATATATGCTATTTATCAATTATATATCATTCATATAACAAATTGTGTGCTTTTGTGTAGATAATCTCTAAAATTATATTTTTCACAGCCTACACTTACTTTGAAACATGATTTTTCCGAGAAAAACTCAGTGTGGGGTTTCAGCCAGGGCTGCTAAAAACCAGTTGTTGGGTTGAGCCCTGCCGAGGGCACCAAGCCCGGAGAGCAGGTGGGAGCTGAAAACCAGCCCACCTCTGCTCACCACACCCGCTGAGCCGGAGCCAGGCTGCATCAGTGAGGAGGGAGAGGCACTTTACAACTGCATAAAGTTGGTTTCTGCATGCTAAACCGTGATTGCAGGGGACAGTCACCCAGAGAGGGCAAGTCTGTAATCCCAGAAAGGCTCTGTTTGAACCTTCTGTGGTGCTGGGTACAGAAAAGGGAAATTATGGAGAAGAAGATAAAGCAAAATCTCAAAAAATCAACCTTTTTATCCTGGACAACATATCCAGATTTTAACTCTTGTTTTGTTTTGGGGATTTGCGGGGAGGGTTTTTTGTGGGGGTTTTTTTTCTGTTTTATTTTTTGCCAGCTTAAATCTCATTAGGCTTCTAAAAAAACTCTAAATCGAATATAATCCATAACTGGACCAACGGCAAGAAGCCTTTTCTGATCCTTATGTGATACCCTCGGGGCCAGTACTAATGTTATTCTTACTTTCAAGCCTTTTAAGTCCAGCAAAGGACTGATCAGAATTTCATTTAAGCTAAATACCCCCTCTCATTTGCAGGGAATGATGAGCTAATACAGCTGACCCTACAATAACACCTGTTTGAACATCACAGGTCCACTTATACACAGATTTTTTTTTTTTTTTTAAGATTTTGTTTATTTGAGAGAGCTCATGCTAGCAGGGGGAGGAGCAGAGAGAGCACAAGTGGACCACGCTGAGCACAGAGCCTGACACGGGGCTTGATCTCAGGACTCTGAGATCATGACCAGAGCCGAGATCAAGAGCTGGTCACTAAACCAACTGAGCCACCCAGGTGCCTCTACACAGATTTTTTTATAATAAAATTTTAATAAATACAGTACTATAAATGTATTTTCACTTCCTTATGATTTTAACATTTTCTCTGGCTTACTTTATTGTAAGAATAGAGTATATAATATACAAAATATGTGTTAATTGGACTTTGGCTTCTGGTCCAAGATGGCAATGTAGGAAGACCCTGAACTCCTGTCTTCCACAGACA